CAGGGGAGATGCAGCCTGCACACCCCTCCTCTAGGGGCTAAAGCCACAACTGCTGAAGACCCAGAAGAGAAAGTCACTGACATGAAAGTCTTTGACATGGTCAGATGGTTCAACCTCAGAAAGTCATGTTTTCATCAGTGTAAACGACATTAAAGAAGAGGCATTGGGGCACAGCCAAGATGGCGAAGAAAAGGCAGGGACTCACCTGAGCTCTCCCCCAAACCCCTCCAAATACCTTTAAATAATGGCTCAAACAAATTCTGGAGTGGCAGAACCCACAAAAGGATGGAGTGAAACAATTTTCCAGAAGGTCAGCAGGAAAAGTCTGTTGCACAGAATAAGAGTGGAGTATAATCCAGCACAGGTCTTGTCAGCCCATCACCTCTGCATCTGGAGGTGGGCAGCATGTTTCAGCATGAGTGCCCTGGAAATCTGACCAGTTATTATGAAGAGCATCTAAATCTTTTCAAACTGTTTTTCTTTACAACATTGCTCTTTCGGTTCACTTCACTCTGCAGCAAATCACAAAAGGCTTCCCAGGTTTCTCTGGATCATCCTCTTAATTACTTTTGAGAGCACATCTTCCATTGCATTCATATGCCATAACTTGGACAGCTCTTCTCCAACTGACAGAGAGCACATCTTCCATTGCATTCATATGCCATAACTTGGACAGCTCTTCTCCAACTGACAGAGAGCACATCTTCCATTGCATTCATATACCATAACTTGGACAGCTCTTCTCCAACTGACAGGCACCCCCTAAGTGTCTGTCACAAAAAGAATTGTTATGTATAATTGTGATGGAATACTATTGTGCTATAAGAAATGATGAGCGGGATGCTTTCAAAAAAAAAACTTACATGAACTGAAGCCAAGTGAAATGAGCAGAACCAGGAGAACATCTTATACAGGAACAGCAATATTGCATGATGATCTGCTGTGAATAACTTAGCTACTCTCAGCTATACAATGACCCAAGACGATCGTGAAGGACTTATGGTGAAAGGTGCCGTCCATCTTCAGAGAAAGAACCGATGGCGTCCGAATGCAGATCGAAGACACTCGTCTTTTACTTTATTTTCTCAAGTTTTTTTGTCTGCTTCTTGACAGCATGACTTACGTGGAAATGTGTTTTGCATGACTACACACACATAACCTATGTCAAATTGCTTGCCTTCTCTGTGAGGGGTGGGAGGGAAGGGAGGGAAAGAATTTGGAACACAAGATTTGGAAAAAAAATGTTTAAATTGTTTTTAAATGTAATTGGGAAAAAAACATTAATTTTTTTTAAAAAGAAGAGGAATTGCCATCTCCTTTACTGCTGCACCTTAAGGACCATGGGACCTTTTAATAATTATTATTGTAATACCTAGCAGGTGTATAGTGTCTACTATGTGCCAGGGACTATGCTAAGGGCCTTACAAATATCTCATTTGATCCTCACAACAACCCTGCAAGATAGGTGTTATCCCCATTTTATAGATGAGAAAATTGAGGCCCGATGAGTTTAAATGATTTGCCAAGGATCACCCAGATAGGAAATGTGGAAGGGCAAACGTGAACTCAGGGCTTCCTGACTCCAGGCCCAGCCCTATGTGCACTGTAGTGCCCCCTAGCTGCCTTTCTGACTTAGACCTGAACTACTCTCCATATTGTGTGCCCCCTAAGAATGAGCTCCCTATAAGCAGGGACTGTCTTACTTTTCTGTTTGCATGCTAAGTGATTACCACATATAAGAGCTTAGAAAAGCTTAGTCATTTATTTTGTCTCCCCCAATGGAAGATTCTTGAGGTCAAGGACTACGTCATCTTTGTCTCCACAGCACCATGCCTGAGCCACTAAAGGTGTTTGTTGATTGACTGAAATCAGGGGGTTCTCATCCAATAAAATGTGTTGGGGAAAAATAGGGCAAAATTAGAAAAAAAGGTGAAATGTCAAAGGACGTCAAATTTGGAGAGGAAGGAAGCTCTTATAAAGTCACCAAATAGGAGAAATGACTAATTCCCCAAATAGGGGATTCCACAGATTTATTTTCTTGAGACAAACAGCCAAAGCAATGGAAGAGTTCTCAGAAGGAAAAAAATACAAATAACCAACTTTAAACTTCTCCCAGTTCTCTAGGAATAAAAAAAAAAAGTACCTTCAAGATCCTCTCTTAGACAGCCCCATCTTCCCTTTCCAACCCTATTCCACATCAGTGCTCTCTGCATGTTCTAGGGCCCACCCAACTGGCTAATTTGCTGTTTCTCATGCACTACACTATCTATAACAGTATGCCCTTCTCCTAGCTGTTGCTCATGTCCAGAAAGCCCTCTCTCCTTGCCTTTTGTCTCCTGCAATCTTCTTTCCTTCAAGAGTCAGCTCAAGAGCTCTGACCTGGTCTGATTACTCCAAAGAACAACTTGGAAGTGTGTCTAAAGAGATATAAAACCGTGCATACCCTTTGACCCAACGGTACCACTACTGGGTCTGTATCCCAAAGAGATCAAAGGAAAAAGGACCTTTATGTACAAAAATATTTCTAGCAGCTCTTCCTGTGGTGGCAAAGAATTGGAAATTGAGGGGATGCCCATCAACTGGGGAAATGGCTGAATAAGTTGTGGTATGTGATTGGGATGGAATACTATGGTGCTGTAAGAAATGGTGAGGGGGGATGATTTCAGAAAAATCTTGGCAGACTTACATGAACTGATGCAAAGTGAAGTGAGCAGAACCAGAACATTGTGCATAGTAATAGCAATATCGGAAAGATGATCAACTGTGAAAGACTTGTCTATTCTAATCAAGACTATGATCCATGACAATTTCAAAGTACTCATGAAGAAGAATACTATCTACCTCTACGATATATGCTTTAAAAAAGGCATGAGCATAAAAATGATGGACCCTGAGTGCAGATTAAAGCATTTTTTAACTTCCTTATTTTTTTTTTTTTTGCGACATGTCTAATATAGTAATGCTTTGCTTGATTTCACATGTATAACCAAAATCATACTACTCGCTTTCTCAATAAGTGGCACAGGAGTGGAGTAAAGGAGAAAACTCAGAACTCAATACTTTTTTTAATTAAAATTTGAATGGGAGGTTAACAGCTCTGTGAGATTCAAAATTGTTTGATCTTCAAGAAAAACCACTGAGGGAGACCTCTGAGATAATAACCATTTATTAAAGGGACTCTTCAACGGATAGGACCTTGGAACTTCCTCACAATCTGAGATGCCTCCTTTCCCCAGGACCTTATTTTTATAGGGCTTGATACCCAGACACTCAGAAGAGGCAAAGTAAAATACAGTCAAGGCAGGGGTCATCTCTGCTGACATAAGATGGGCCCCTCCTCCTGTTGGGCAAGAGAGGGTGGGTCAGAGGCACAAAAATAAGTTAAGCAACTTTCCACAGCACAGGAAGACATCCCACCCATGCTAGGGTTGGTCACGCTCTCATCACCCGAAACGGTGGACATCCTCTAGGGAGCATTCCTGTAATTAGGCAAGTGAACCTTGGTACTTTTATAACAGGTTATTAAATGTAGTTTAAAGTTTGGGGCCCATTATAACAATATATCTTATTTAATTATCTTTAGATATATGTAAAATATGTATTAACACATGTAATTCATATTACTAATATTAGTTAACTAGACTGACTAAATGTATATTACTAGATGAGTATATCACTAATAATTACTAACAATCACTACCCCTATGGAATCACACTAAACTGATTAATACTGATTGGAATAAAATAGGGGCCCAATTAATCATTCCTCACGGTTTCTGATGGGGGAGGCGCTGGAATAGCTTTATGGTCTTGCCTTTCCTTCCTTGTCTTGGGGAAACGGAGACATGGCAAACTCCAGCCTCATCTGTCATAGCCAGGCAGCCAGGCTCCACACACACACACACACACACACACACACAGACACAGACACACACACACACACACACACACACACACACACACACACACACCCCCAACCCTCCCTGGTTCTACAGTTAACTTTCCACAAGGCTCTGCAAATGACCAGGATGGTGTGACGGGCCCTATTGTTCCTATCTTCTACTTCATTGCACCATCCCCTCCCCATCAGGACATGGAACTTCCCTGGGTCAAACTGACCTAGAGGGTGTTCTATGTCCCATGCACACTGGGAATCCCAAGCTTCCCTCAAAGGGGATTAAGGGGAAGAGACAAAACTAAGCTAACTTTTCCTGAGTCATCAATGTTTGATATGCATACTACTTATGCCTTAAATAACAGGAGATTACATGTATATGATGCTTTAAGGTTCAGTCTTTTACACATAGTATCTCAAGATACGGATAAAAACGTTCCACGGACTAGGCCTGAGCACAAATCCCTAAAGGCACCTGAGCGCTGACCACTTTCCAAGCTACTATTAACCATCCAAAACTACTCAAACAGCCACTAAATTGTTCCAATGGCACCTATCTACCGATATTATTGTCCCTCCTATATGTGTCTATCTTCCATGCTGGAAGCACGATACTCAGGAAGTTCTACGTTCTGGCTGCAGGGCTGTGAGTTTTCTTTCATTCACGGTCCTTTTGTTTCTTGGACACATCACTGTCACTCGCCATGGACTCTCTTGGACACATCACTGTCACTCGCCATGGACTCTCTTCTCCCCAGTAAAGAGCTCCCCTGTAACAATTAAATGTTGTCAAGGAAAGTAAGTCAACACGCTGGTTACTCATGAGAGTACATGCATCATTTGCATTTCTAGTCAATGACTCCCCGTATCGAGGAAAAAGAGTTCATCAGCATACATTGAAGGGCTTTCCACATGCATTGTATTTCCTGGATCCTTTCCAATATTAACTAAATTTGTCAAAAAGTCTCTTCCAGAGAAGTTTTGCTTCAATGATTATATTAATGAAGTTTCTCTCCATCGTGAATTCTAGAATGTGTCGTAAGTGCTGTGATCCGGCGGAATGCCTTCCCGCATTCGTGACATTCATAAGCTTTCTGTCTGCCGTGTATTCTCTTATGGCACGAAAGACCAGTGCTCCGGGTGAAGGATTTTCCACATTCCGTGCATTCATAGGGTTTCTCTCCAGTATGGGTACTAATGTGGCGAGTAAGGTCAGACTTCTGAGGGAATGCCTTCCCACATTCACTGCACTCGTGAGGTTTTATTCCTTTATGAGTTCTCCGGTGCAGAGAGAGATTGGAGCTTGATCCAAATGTCTTCCCACATTCACTGCACTCATAGGATTTCTCTCCAGTGTGAGTTCTCTGATGTCGAGTCAGCGTTGTGCTTCTCGGAAAGGCTTTCCCACAATCATTGCATTTAAAAGGTTTTTCTCCAGTATGAATCCTGTAATGTCGTATGAGATCAGTCTTTTGGCGGAAGGCCTTTCCACAGTCACTGCACTCGAAAGGTCTCTCTCCAGTATGAATTCTGAAATGCTGTATGAGATTTATCTTCTGCTGGAAGGCCTTTCCACATTCACTACATTTATAAGGTTTGTTTTTACTCTGAATGCTAGAGAGTTGAGTAAGATCTGCCTTCTGACAGGATGTCTTCCCACACTGAGTCGATTTATAACACTGTTTTTCTTTATCACTTCTCTGGTGTAGACTAAGTTCATTACTCAGGAGGAAAGAATTCCCACTTTCATGAAGTTTCCCTTCAACATGAATTTCATGTTTTTTAATGAGGTCCAAATCACAATCAAAGGTTTTCTGACATCTGTTAACCTTAGATTGCTTAACCTTTGAACAGATTTGATTACATTGTCTTTGGTCTGAATACACAGTAAAACTCTTTCTCTGGATATCACCTTTACAGAGATTCATTACTACAGATACTCCCTGTTGTGGGCAAAGGAGTGGCTCCGGGCTGGATGTCTGCCTGTATTTACTGTATTCAAAGTCTCTCACTTTACTGGGAAATTCTGTCTGCGTTACTTTTACCAGTCTAGGATGCTGCTCAGTGCTCTGCTTTTTCTTTAAACTGCCATAACACTCCCAGGCCTTCCTCATCTTGGAGGCGCACGGATCATCCCGTGACAATGTTTGCTGGGATAAGGTTTCCATATAAATACTCATCTTTGACAATGATTCCTTGGAATGAGGTCTGGTGTCCCAATCTAAAAGAAAGAATAAGTGTAAATACCCTTTTCCTTGGATGAATAAGCTTTTGTTTATGCTTCACCTTCCCCAGTATTCTGTTACAAGAAATGTACATATTGTTTTCACTTGAATTGAAATCAATTCATATGTCTTCAAAAATTTGTTTGTAATCACCAAGCTTATCCTTACATATGGCCTAATAATTATATTAAGTAAAAATGCCAAAATTGATGCAGATGATACACAATCAATGGAAATACGGAAGTTTCCTGGTTCCCTTACAGCAATAAGAACAATGTAGTTGGAAGTATTTTGGGAGGGGGCGGTAAATGTCTTCATCATACCTGGAGAGAGTGATGCGAGTGTGAACACCAGGTCTAAGAAGAGGAAGTTATGTGTACCTCCTACATTGAAAAATTCCACTTTGCTTTCCAAAAAGATTAAAACAATTCAGAGTAACACCCATGGTGAAGAAGCGTTCCTGCATTCTGAAAGCACCAACGGAATCTCATCTATCTATCCATACCAACTGACTCTGATATAAAAGGCGACATCATCCAAACAAACTGGAGGAGTCGGGAAGAAACTATCTGTAAGATCTATGGCCGGGAGAAGAGTTGATGACCAAAAATTTCATCCAGAGGATCACAAATTTGCCCATTTTCAGGGGGCTCACAGACGAATGATCAGTGGAGCACTGGGGTGTCATGTACTCATTGTTCTTAGCACTCGCTCACTCACCTGGCCAGATGGTTCTCAAGACACTACCCGTTGGAATCCCACGTGCTTCCCTTGACTTCAGATGAGAGAACACGTCCAAGTTGGATACCGCAAGGCCTAGTCATAAGAAATGGCAAAGTGAGGAAGAGGGAGGGTCACTTCAGAGCCCAAGCCACAAAACCCCCTAAGAGCAAGCAAGGAAGGACCAGGGAGTCTTGGGACTGTGGAGGACCACAGAGAAAACATCGGAAAGGTGATCTGGTTTATTTTACTGGGAAGATACAGGAATGGCACAAAGAATGGAGTTGGGTTCACAAAGACATTCTTTTAAACATTCAATATTAAGGTATCTGGAACCTTCATGATTCCAAACACTGCCCTTGGACTTTAGAAAGCATCTCTGGCATGAGGGAACAGGGCTGGCGTGAGAGCACACTATGAAACAGTTAGGTTCCAGACACACAAGGCAACGGCCCTTCAGCTGGGACCAGGGAGGGCACAAAAACCCTGTCTCTTGGCCTTATTTCCAAATGCTTGTTTTTGTTTTGCAGGTCAAAGCATCAGTGCTGAACACTAGATAGAGTCTCCAAGGGAAGGGAGCAAATAACCTTTCATGGGCAGATCCTGAGTCCCCACAGGAGCCATCATTACCCAGGCACACCAGATTCCTGTAGTTCTCCAACACCACCTCCCAGTAAAGCTCCTTCTGGGAAGTGTCCAGGTAGCCCCACTCCCTGCAAGTGAAGTCCACCACCACGTCCTTGAACGTCACTGATTCCTGAAACAAATAATTTTGTGCTCAACCAGGGACCAGACCCCAGATGGACCTAGGACGGGAGGTAAAGGGGGCAGGAATCAGGAGGACTGATTCTTATATTCAGGTTTCACAGTGTTCAAAGTCAAACATTCAGGGGTATTTATGACACGACTCAGGCTGCACCAGATTCTGAATCATGTTAATAAAAGAATAGTCATTGCCAAGACCATAAGCATTCATGGAGTGTCTGCCCTGTGTCAGGCTCTGTGCTGAGCCCTGGGGATACAGATTAGGGCAAAAGCAGTCCCTGCCCTCAAGGAGCTCACAGTCTAATAGGGGAGACAACAGGCACCTGACTACTGACAAACAAGGTCTAGAACCCATCACAACCACCTCGGGAAGGCCAGCGTTCCTCACGCCCACTTTATAGATGAGCAAACTGAGGCTAAGAAAGGCTTGGATTGCTCAGGTTCACAGATAGGATCAGAGTTATGGCTCCCATAGAATAGAATAGAAAGGAACATACCTTTTTTTAAGTGGTACATGGCACCTTTATAAAACTGGCCATATATTAAAGCATAAAAACCTTATCGTCAAATGCAGAAAAGCAGAAACATGAAACGTATCCTTTTCAAATCATAATGAAATAAAAAATACATTTTATAAAAGACCATGGAAACAGATTACCAATTAATCAGAAACAAAATGACCTAATCTTAAAGAATGAGTGGGTCAAAGAACAAATCACAGAAACAATAAATAATTTCATTAAAAGAGAATGATAATAACGAGACATCATACCCAAACTTATGGGATGCGGCAAAACTAGCAGAGGAAGATTTATACCTATAAATGCTTATAGGAATAAAACAGAGAGCAAGTCAATGAATTGGGTATGCAATTAAAAACACAGAAAAAGAGCAAATTAAAAATCCTCAATTAAACACCAAATTGGAAATCCTAAAAATTAAAGGTGAGATCAATAAAACTGGATATGAGAAAACCATTAAATTAATAAATAAAACAAGGAGCTGGTTTTATGAAAAACAATAACAACAAAATAGAAAAACCACTGGTTCATATGATTTTCAAAAAGAGAAGCAAACAAAATTACAGTATCAAAAATGAAAAGGGTGAATACATCACCAATGAAGATGAAATTAAAGCAATTATTAGGAGTTATTTTGCCCAATTATATGCTAATAAATGTAACAATCTAAGCAAAATGGAAGAACGCTTACAAAAATATAAACTGCCCAGACAAAAAGAGGAAACAATAAGATAGTTACATAAACCTGTTTTAGAAAAAGAAACCAAAGGAGCCATAAATGAGCTTCCTAAGAAAAAAGCATCAGGAGCAGATGGATTTACAAGTGAATTTTACCAAACATTTAAAGATCAATTAATTCCAATATTAAATAAAGTATCTGGAATGATGGACAAAGAAGGAGTCCTACCTAACTCCTTCCATGAAACAAATAGGATGCTGACACCTAAACCAGGAAGAGCAAAACCAAAGAAAATTATAGACCAATTTCACTAATGAATACGGATATAAAAATCCTAAATAAAATACTAGCTAGGAGATTATAGCAATATATCACAACAATTATACCTTGTAACCAAGTGGAACTTATACTAAGAATGCAGGGCTGGTTCAATATAAGGAAAGCTATTAACATAATTGATTACATCAATAAAAAATCCACAAAAATTACATGATTATATCAATAGATGCAGAAAAAGCTTTTGACAAAATACAACACATATGCCTACTTAAAACACTTGAAAGCATGGGTATGAATGGATTTTCCCTTAAAATGACAGGAAGCATCTACTAAAAACCATCAGCAAGCATTAACTGTAATGGGAATAAGCTAGAAGCTTAGCTCATAAAATCAGGAGTGAAACAAGGATGCTCATTATTATCAATATTATACTAGAAATGCTAGCAATAGGAATAAGAGGAAAAAAAGAAATTGAAGGATTAGAATGGGCAACGAGGAAATAAAACTATCTCTTTTTGCAGATGATATGATATAGTTGGGTTTTTGGGGGTATTTTTGGTGTTTTTTTTTTTTTTTTGGTGAGGGCAATTGGGTTAAGTGACTTGCCCAGGGTCATACAGCTAGTGAGTGTCATGTGTCTGAGGCCAGGTTTGAACTCAGGTCCTCCTGACTCCAGAGCTGGCGCTCTATCCACTGCGCCACCTAGCTGCTGCTATCATGATATATTTGGAAAATCCTTAAGATTCAACTAAAAAATAGATGAAACAATAATTTTAGTAAAATAGTAGGATATAAAATAAACCCACATAAATCATCCACATTTTTATATATCATCAACAAAGCCCTGCATTTAAAATAATCATAGACAATATAAAATACCTGGGAGTATATTGCAAACACAAATCCAGGAACTACATGAACATAATTATAAAACACTTTTTATACAAATAAAGTCACATTTAAACAATTGGAGAAATATTAATTGTCCATGGTTGGGCCAAGCCAATATAATAAAAATGACAATTCTACCTAAGTAATCTTATTCAGTGCCATCCCAACTAAACAAAAAAAAATATATTTTATTGAGCTAGAAAAAAATAACAACAAAATTCATTTGGAAAAATAAAAGGTCAAGAATATTAAAAGAATTAATGAAAAAAAAATAAAAGAAGGAGGTCGAGCAGTACCAGATCTTAAATGGTATTATAAGGTAGTACTGGCTAAGAAAAAGGAGAATGGTCAATCAGTGGATTGGAGTAGGTATAAAACACACAGTAGTAAACGATTATAGTAAACTCATGTTTGATAAACGTAAAGATGTAACATTTTGGGATAAGAACTCACCAGTAAAAATTGCTGGGAAAACTGGAAAGCAGACTAGCAGAAACTGGATATAGAGCACTATCTTATACTATTTACCAAGATAAGGTCAAAATGGATACATGACCTAAACATAAAGGGTGATATCATAAGTAAATTAGAGAAGCATTAAACATTAACTATTAGATTTATGGATAGGAAAAGAATTTATGAATAAATAAGAGGTACAGAGTATTGTGGGATATAAAATGGATAATTTTGATTACATTGCACTAAAAAGGTTTTGTACAAATAAATCCAACTTAACCAAAATTAAAAAGAAAGTTGGGGGAAAATTTTTGTTGACAGTTTCTCAGCTAAAGGCCTCATATCTCAAATATGTAGAAAACTGGGTCAAATTTATAAGAATGAGTCATTCCCCAACTAATAAATAATCAAAAGATATGAACAGGCAGTTTTTACAAGAAATAAAATCTATATAGTCATATGAAAAAATACTCTTTGACAATCATTGATTAGAGAAATGCAAATTAAAACAACTTTGAGGTACTACTTCATACCAATCAGATTTAAATCTGGTTATCAGGTTAACATGATTGAAGAGGAAAATGATGAAAGTTGGAGGAGACATGAAAAACTGGGACATTAATACATTGGTGGTGGAACTGTGAACTGATCTAACCATTTTGGAGAGCAAGCTAGAATTACGCCCAAAGAGTCATAAAACTGTACCCTCAAACTCAGTAATGCCACTATTAGGTCTGTTTCTCAAGGTGAAAGCAGAAACAAAGGAAAAGAACTTATATGTTCTAAAATATTTATAGTAGTTGGCAAAGAATTGGAAATTACAAGAAGCCCGTCAATTAAGGAATGGCTGAATAGGTCGTGGTATATAATGTTGACAGAATGCTACTGTGTTGTAAGAAAAGACAAGCTGGTTGACTTTAGACAAATATGGGAAGACTTGCATGAAATAATGCAGAGTGAAAACACTGTACACAGTAATAGGAATATTGTTCAAAGAATAACTGTGAATGACTAAGCTATTCTGAAAAATATGAACATTCAAATCGACTACGAAGGACTTATGAAGGAAAATGCTCTCCATCTACCGAGAAAAAACCAGTATACAGAAGTATGTGTTGCATAATTCTACACATATCTATATGAAATGTCGGTTTTCTCTAATGCGGAGTTGAGAGGGAGGAAGGGAACATTTTGGCATACAAAAAGTAACAAAAGAAATCAATAAAATAAACATAAGATTAAAAAAAAAATCCATAGTCAGACTGCAAGAAAAAGAAGGAAGGAAGAAAGGAAAAAAAGAGGACAATGCTACTTACCTGGGGGGGCCTGCTGGGAAGGAACTTGGGGCCCATGCTGCGCTCCTTCCTGCTCCGCGCTCTGGCTCGCACCCAGGCCCCTGGGCTCCCACAAGGCCTAGCTAGAAAGGAAAAGGCAGCCATGGGGGGGGGCCCTTCCCCCTGCCCCCCAGACCTGCCTCTGCCTGGGAAATGCCCACAGTGACACTGGGGGCAGCCTGTCTGTGTCCAGGCTCAACGTGCATTGATGGAGCGCCCACTGCATGCCTCACTGCATTCTAGGTGCTGGAGATGCCAAGGAGATGGAAAAGCCCAGACTGTGCCCCTCCCCCGAGAAATGCCAGGTCACATGAGGAGGGAGGGGACAGGGACACTTGGGGAAGTGGGGGAGGAGGAGGGGGTGCCCTGGGCTGGGGTGATGAGGCAGGAGGCTCCTTTCCCTAGAAATGCAGGAGGAAGAGAGCATGAGACCAAATAAAACGGGAGGCTTGTAGCCAGATAGATGAGTGCGGGAGCCCAAGGTCGTCCATGTCAGAGGAGAGGATTTGGGGAGTGGGAGAGGGGGAGGGGTAAGAATGGAAGAGGAGCCAGAGATGGGCCAGGAGAGAAAGAGGGGGAGGGGGGAGGAGAAAGTGAGGGGAAAAGGAAGGGGGAGGAGAGAAAGGGGGAAGAAAGGAAGGAGTGAGCCAGGTGGCCCTGCCTCGATGATCCCCCAGGGACTGAGGAAGGAGCATTTGCCCCTTTCCAGAGACTAACCACTGGAGGCAAGAAGAGGGGAAGAGAAGCTCAGGAAGGAGGCAGCAGCGGTCTCAAGAGACAAGAACGCAGACAGGTTCAGAAAGCCAATGAGTTCATTTGGTCCACTCAATACTGAGGTATCTGGGAGCCTTCTTGACTTCAGTATCTGCCCTGGGGCGTGAGAAAGCCTCCCTGGCCTGAACAGACAGCTGGAGGGGGCTCCCACAACGAAGCAGCCGGCTTCCAGACATACAAAGCAAGAGCCCTTCAGCTGGGCCCAGGCAGAGCACAAGAACCCTGTCTCCTGGCCTCACTGTAAATAAGAAATGCTTGGTTTTCTTAGAGGCCAAAGCACCAGTGCTGAACACTAGACCCAGCCCCAGCAGAAGGAAGCAAACCACCTTTCAGGGGCAGATCCCAAGTCCCCAGAGGAGCCCCCTTACCCAGGCTGACCAGGTTCCTGTAGTTCTCCAGCATCACCTCCCAGTAAACCTCCTTCTGGGAGGTGTCCAGGTAGCCCCACTCCTCCCAGGTGAAGTCCACGGCCACATCCTCGAAGGTCACTGATTCCTGAAACAAATAAATCTGTGCTTGGCCAGGGACCATGCCCCAGATGGATGGGGGAAGGGAGATGAAGGGGGGCAGGAATGAGAAGGGCTGATTCTTACTGTATTCAGGTTTCAGAGTGTTCAAAGCAAAATCCTGAGGAGCATTTACTACATGCCTCAGATTCTGAATCACGTGATAAAAGAATAGTCATTGTCAAGACCATAAGCATTCATGGAGTGTCTGCCCTGTGTCAGGCTCTGTGCTCAGCCCTGGGGATACAAACTAGGGCAAAAGCAGTCCCTGCCCTCAAGGAGCTCACAGTCTAACGGGGGAGACAACAGGCACAGAAACAGTCCTGACAGGGGACAGCAAGGCCCCAGCAGCTGAGGAGACCAGGACTGGGTTCCTATGAAAGGGAGGGCTTGAGCTGAACATTGGCAGATTAAGTCAGTGCCTCCAAGAGGGGCAAAGTGAGGGGAGAGAAGCATTCCAGGCAGGGAGAGAAGCAGAGGCAGAGAGAAGAGATGGGGGGGGTCCTGTGTGAGGAACAGAAATAGGCCAGGCTGGCCGGGCCACAGCAGGCAGGGAGGACTTTAACAGGGTAAGACGTGGGAAGGTAGGAAGGGCTCAGTTTGTGCAAAGCCTGACGTGGCAAACGGGGCATTTTATACTTGATCCTGGGAGGACCAGGGAGCCATTAGAGTATATTGAGGGGCAGTGGGGGGCGCAGTCAGACCTGTGCTATAGGAAAATCACTTTAGTGACTTGCGCAGGAAGGGCTGGAGTGGGGAGAGACTTGAGGCAGGAGACCCAGATAGGAGGAGGCTGTTTATAAAGTCCAGGTGAGACAGCAGGTGGTGGAAGGGAAGGGCACCTGTGGGAAGACGTCTAGGGACAGAAAGGAGGAGGTTTGGCCAGGGACTGTGTGGAGTCAAGGACGCCACTCCAGGACGGAAAGCAGATGACTAGAATCACACTTTTATGAAGGAGCTTAGTACCTCCCTCTCCCTGCACATCCCAGAATGCCTGCTGTCCCTGAAGATCCATGGGCAGAGCCCCTCCTACAGGCCAGCGTCCCCCACCCCCCCTCCCGCCTTGCATCTAATGTTCTTTTTTCTTGTATGTGTGTGGCACCTCCCATGTTAGAATGGACATCTGGGGAGGCAGTCACCACTGGGAGGATCAGAGAAAGTGTCCCAGGAGATCCATCTTTCAGGGGCCCCCCAGATGTTGAGTCAAGTCAGATAAGCCAGCCTTTATTAAGTGGGCTGGTGACTGAATGGCTGATCAGCCCCAGGGGCTCTGATGACAGAGAGCACTGAGGAAGGACCCGTCTACACTGTGCCCTGAGACACCTGGCAGGGAGGAGGGCAACGCTGCTTACCTGGGGGGGCCTGCTGGGGAGGAACTCGGGGCCCATGCTGCGCTCCTTCCTGCTCCCCGCTCTGGCTCGCACCCAGGCCCCTGCTGGAAAGGAAAAGGCAGCCATGGGGGGGTGGGCCCTTCCCCCTCCCCCCCAGACCTGCCTCTGCCTGGGAAATGCCCACAGTGACACCGGGGGCAGCCTGTCTGTGTCCAGGACTCGGGTCAACTCAACGCGCATTGATGAGGCGCCCACTGTATGCCTCACTGCATTCTGGGTGCTAGAGATGCCAAGGAGACGGAAAAGCCCAGATTCTGCCCCCCCCCCAGAAAGGCCAGGTCACGTGATGAGGGAGGGGGCAGTGACACCAGGGGGCATGAGGGGGGCCCTGGGCTGGAGGCTTTTTCCCAGGGGGTCCGAACCCTGGAAATGCAGGGAGGGGGTGGGGAGGAGCCTAGGGTCTTCCTGGGGGGGCAGGTGGGGAGCAGGAGAGGGAGAAGGGGGGGTCGGGAAGAGGGGGAAGAGGAGGTGAGGAGGGGGAGGGGAAATAAAGGAGGGACGGCAGAAAAGGAGGGGAAAGAAGTGAAGGGAAGAGAAAGAGGGGAGAAGAAAAGGAGGGGGAGATGAGGGGGAGGGAAAGGAGGGGGGCCGAGAGGGAGGAGGGGGCGGGGCGGTCTCTCCTCACAGACCCCCCCCAAGGATCCAAGAGCCTTCGCCCCATTTCAGGGACGAGCCAACTGAGGCAAGGAGAGGGGAGGGGGCGGAGGTTCCGGGCGCCCGTCCCCCTTCTGCCCCACCTCGCGCCCCCTCCCCTCACCTCGGACCCAGGACAAGCAGCGCTCAGAGATGGAGCCCCAAAGCAAAACTCCCGCGCCTGCGCAGACGCTCCCTCCGCGGGGGACGCGCCCATTGGCTAGTTCGGGGAGGGGCGGGCCCTTTCTGCTTTTTTCTCCCGGGCCACGCCCCCTTTCCCTGTTTCCCGGGATTCGGGGGCGGGGAAATCCGCTCCCTCGCCCTAGAGGCGCCGGGAACGTTGAGCCAATCAGAGGCGCCGCCGCTGCCGAAGCCCCGCCCCCTCCCCCCACTCTCCTGGGCCGGGTCCGGGTGGGAGCCCAGCCCCGTCCGGACTCTGCGCTGCCGGACGGTCCCTCTGCCTGTGTCCCCGGGCGACCCCGGAGAGACCCCGGCCGGGCCCGCGGTGTATGTAGTGGGCGCTTAATGAGTGTTCATTTCCTCCCTCCCATCAGGCTGCCTCTCAGGGTCCGTCCCCAGTAACCCACCGACGGCTACATTCAACAGGCATTTATGAAGTCCTTGCCCAGTGCCAAGCACAGCGTCATCCCCCACCCCGGGCCCGGGCCCGGACCCGCCGTCCCACCCACCATGGCCAGTCCCAAGGAGAAGCTGGGAGGAGGGGCCTTTGCATCCAGCGTGGTCCTGGGAAACAACTGTGTGCCGCTCGTGAAATCAGGGAGCACACGATTACTAAACACCATCTGTGAGCAGCACGCAGCCCGGGGCTGGAAGAAACACGTGATCAGGATACCCAGCTGGCCAGCCCAGTGGGGTGGAGACGCCCCCCAGGCACTCTGGGACAGACACGTGAAAAGGGATGAGGCATAGGGCACAGAGGGCAAGGAGCTGGCCTGGAGACGGGCAGACCCAGGGTCAAGTCCCACCTCTCACACACAGTGGGTGGGCAATTTAGACCACTCCCTTAAACACTTGGTGCCCTGGGCAGCCCTCTGGAGGCCTCTGGGTGCTGGAACGAGGAAGACCTGAGCACCAATTCCTAGCTGAGTGACGCCGGGCAAGTTTTAAGGTTTAAACGCTGACTGCCTCGGTTTCCTCATCTGTGAAATGGGAAGAAATCTAGCACCTGCCCCTCCCCAGGGGCGTGAGGCTCAAATGAGATAATATTTGTAAGAATGCTTTTAGCACAGTGCCTGACACACAGTAGGTGCTATATAAATGTTAGCTGTCGTTGTTAAGGAAGCGATGACGTCTGCATGAGAATTTACAGGAAGGGTAGACATTCCGCAGCAAAGACATCCTGCAGAGGCCCAGAGGAGGGAGCGAGCAGGGCCCGTTCAGGGTTGGCCTGGGGTAGTACAAGTCATTGTGCATTTATTAAGCACCAACTGTGTGCAGGCTCTGGGGCTACTTCTGTAAGTAGGTACAAGAGAGAGTCCCAAGGCTCTGCGATCTCCCTGATTTCCCAGTTCTCTCCAGGGCTACAGATTCTGGTCCATCCCGTGCATGCTGCCCTCGTCAGGGCTGCACTATGTGGCGCTGCAACTTCCTGCTGGTGTCATTTGTAGCAAGTGTCAAGATGGATCCGCTAGTCAATCAACAACCCTTTTAATTCTTAGTTCCTGCCCACTTGGTGCCAGGCACCGTGCCAGGCCCTGGGGAGACAAGACAAGGAGGGAACTAATCCCTGCCCTCTTGGACTCGAATGCTTCTTTGCACCGTGCACGTAGAAAGTGTAGGGATTTGGGGAGGAAAATCCAGAAGGCGTCAAAGACCAATCAACAAGCATTAATTCAGTGCCTACTAAGTGCCGGACACTGGGCGGTTAAGTTCTGGGGATACAGAGGAAGACAGAGATGCTCTTGCAGGCAGGTGCTAATGAGGGCCTGCGGTCGGCTGGGGAAGGCAGGCGGGCATAGGGAGAGGGACCGTGATGGATGCCCCTGGACAAGGCCTGCCTGTGTTCCCAAGGCCCCTTCACGTCCCAGGGAAGTCTTTCCTTTAACAGTGCCCCTAGATCCCAGACAGAAGGGCCCTGACCCCAGAGTCAGGAGATCAGGCATCTGCTCCCAGTTTTGCCACCAGTGAGCAGCATGAGCTTGGGTAAGTCCCTTGCTCTCCAGGCCTCAGTTTCCCCACTGGTCTAAGATGGTCCCTGCTCTGCCTTCTTCACAGGAGCGGTTACAAGAACCAAAGGAAATCACTGGTGGGTGAAAGTCGCTCGGTAAAGCTCCATCCGATTATAACTAAGTGATCATTAACATGCTGGAGGTGAGGGTGCTTAAGTCAAGGCCTGCCGTGTGAGAAGGGGCCCCACGAGGTCACTGGAGGAGGTGGTGGACAAGCAGAGGCTCTTGGGGACCTACCGACCACTCTCTAGACCAGGCTTTGTTTTCTTGGGAAGGCCACACAGGGCTCCCATCCTTCCCAACAGGCTAAGGAAAGCAGATCCTCATGAGCTTTTGATTTTCCTTTTGGAAAGGCAGCTCAGTGCCAGTGACCTGAGCCCTGCCTGGCTGACATTGGGATGAGGTTGAGGAGGGGGCCCATGTAGGAGGCTCCACTCCACCCCTACCCAACCCCACCCTCACTCTCAGGCCTCAGACCCTCCTTGACAAGAGAAAACATACAGGGCAGTTTACTTCCTTCCCAGTGGTGTGAGAAAGTGTGTTCAGCATTCAAAGAAAAGCTTGACCTCTCCTCAGCCCAGGGGCCAAAGGGGCCAGCAGGAGACCAGTCCTCTCTTTGAGGGGCTTGCTGAGAGAAGGCCAAGACGGGGGAGGGGGGGGTGTTCCCCCAAGCCAGACCCTGTTCCTAGAAAACAGCTCTTGGGCCCATTTGTCAGTCAGCTGTCAGCAAACCTGGTGAAGATCCCTGCCCAGGGACATTCAGTAGGGAAATGCTGGTTCCTGGGTGGTTAGCCAGCTAGCTGGAAAGACTTCTTTTGGCAGAGGTAAAGTAGATTTATTGCCTTCGGTTCTTTTAAGTCAGGCACTGATAGGCAGAGCTGAAGTTTTAGAAGTTTTCAAGGGAAGTTAGCATAAACCTTGGAGAATCATAACCGGTTCTAAACTGAAGGTGATCTGTAAGCTTGGTCTCTGGATCTCATCAGGCTTCTTCAGCACCACCCAAAGGGGAGAGGGCAGCGCTGCTGCCAGCAGCCCATGTGCCAGAGGAGCAGGGCTCAGGGATTCCAGATGCAAAAATCGGGGGCAGGTACTGGAACCCTGGAATTGTGGAGAAAGAAAAGACCCTTCATAGCTCTCATGGTCCTAGGCTGTCTGGAGCGGCTTACAGGGATCTCAGCTTTTACAGTCATAGTGATCAGTGCGAGCCCCAAGAACAGTCACGAGTACCCAGGAGGGTACCTCTTAGGTCCCTTAGTTCCATAAGCCTGCTTTCTTTCCCTCCCTCCCTGCCTCCTTCCTCCCTCCCTTCCTTTCTTCCTTCCTTCTCTCCTTCCCACAAGATGCAGGACCCTTGCTTCTCACCTATGACCATTAGATCTCGCCATCAGTCATTCCCACCACTCTTGCTTCTGAACCTTCCCTTTTTTAATTCTTGTCTCTAGTGGAGTCTTCTGTGCTTTCATCATTCACCAGCTCCCACTGACCTTGCCCCTTCTCTCTCCATGTTACCTCCAGCTCTCCCTGTTTCTCCAATCCCCTATACTTTGGAATATGCCACATCAACAAAGTTTTCTAATGAAACAGAATGGCAAAATAACAAACAAAAAAAAACATCTTTTTTGAAGAAACAAGCATTTATTACCAGGCACTGGGTTAAAGTTTTATAAATATTATCTTTACAAACAGTATCTCATTTGATCTTCACAACCACCCAAGTGCTATTATTATCCCATTTTACAGTGGACGAACTGAAGCAGAGAGAGGTTCAGCGACTTGCCCAGAGTCACACAACCAGCAAGTGTCCCAGGCTAGACTTGAACTGAGGTCTTCCTGACTCCTGGTCCAGTGCAATCATAAAGCTACACTGACTCATAAGGCAATGGGGATTTCATCAAGCCTGAGGACTCTTCGCTTCTTATGCCTCAAGGGACTACTTTCACGAACATCAGCAGAAGCAGCAGCATGTATGTTATTAGGAATTTATGGAGCACTTCGGTGGATGGAGCACCAGCCCTGGAGTCAGCCCCAGACAGTTACCAGCTGTGTGACGCCAGGCAAGTCATGCAATCCCAACTGCTTCTCAAGAAAAAAAAAAGGAATTTTTTATGTACTTAACCACGTGCTAGTCACTGTGCTAAGTGCTGGAGATACAAAACATGTGTCCTGCCCTTGAGGAGCTCACGTTCTTCCCTCTGATTTATATATATGATGCAGATGGGAGATGATGTGAGAGGGAAGCCTGTACGTATGTATGGGAGAATAGAACGGGAAAAGTCTTTTGCAGAAGGTGGGCTTTGAGCTGAATCTTGAAGGAAGGCAGGAAGATGACAATTCCAGGTATGGGAGACAGCCAGTAAAAAATGCCTGGAGTTTGTCAAGCCAGTGTCACTGGCTTCTTGGGTGCACAGAAGGAAATAAGGTGTAGGATGACTGAAAAGGTAGGAAAGGGCCAGCCTGTGAAAGGCTTTGAAAGCCAAACAGAATTCAATATTTAATTCATCATTTACCACTTGACTGCTTTACTGGACTTCATATTCTTGGGAAATTCATTATTCTGAAAGATGCTGCTGCTGCCTCATCAAATTGGGTAACTTCCTCCTCCCTTACCTTCCCCCCACCCTTTTCTGCTTCTTTTTAAGTATGTTTTTTGTAATTTTCACATTAGTCATGTTGTAAAGAAGAATTAGAATCAATGGGATGAATCATGAGAAAGAAGCAGCAAAACAAAAGGAAAAAAGAGATCAAACAGTCTGCTTCGCTCTGCATTCGGACTCCATAGTTCTTTCTCTGGTTATGGATAGCATTTTCCATCATGAGTCTTTTGGAGCTGTCTTAGATCCTTACATTGCTGAGAAAAGCCAACTCTATGGAAGTTAGTCATTGCACAGCGTGGCCGGTACTGTGCACAACGTACTCTTGGTTCTGCTCACTTCACTCAGCATCAGTCCATACAAGTCTTTCCAGGTTTTTCTGAAGGCTGCCTGCTTGTCATTTCTCATAGCACACTAGTATTCCATTACACTCATATACCACAGCTTGTTCAGCCATTCCCCAACTGATGAGCATCCCCTCAATTTCCAATTCTTTGCTGCCACAAAGAGCTGCTATAAATATTTTTGTACATGTGGGTCTGTTTCCCATTTTTATGATCTCTTTGAAGTACAGACCTAGAAGAGGTACTGTTGGGTCAAAGGGTATGCACGTTTTTATAGCCCTTTGGACATAGTTCCAAATTGCTCTCCAGAATGGTTGGATCAGTTCACAACTCCACTGACAGTGCATTAGTGTTCCAACTTTCCCACACCTTCCCCAACATTTATCATTTTCCTGTTTTGTCAGGTTAGCCAATCTGATAGGTGTGCTGTGGTAACTCCGAGTTGCTTCTATTTGCATTTCTTTAATCAATAGTGATTTCGAGCATTTTTTTTCACATGCCAACAGATAGCTTTAATTTTTTCATCTGAAAACTGCCTGTTCATATCCTTTGACCATTTATCAACTGGGAAATGACTTGTATTCTTATAACAATCTGTTGGCTTGTGAGCTACAGATTCGGCAGAAGGAAAGGGAAAGATCTAATTTCCAGCCCAGACACAGAGGCTCCTTCTTGAATAACAGAAAGCAACAAAACTGTTCGGCTGAGATTGAACTCACATGGGCTTCAGTATGCTTGTTTCAAAGCAGAACAGCTCCAGGCCTTTAGACATGTTGAGTTGTTTCACTTAGGTCCAATTCCATGACATCATCTGGAGCTTTCTTGGCAAAGATATGGGAATGGCTTGCCATTTCCTTCTCCAGCTCATTTTACAGATGATGAAACTGAGGCAAGAGGCCCAGAATCACACAGCTGGTAAATACGAGACCAGATTTGAACTCACAAAAACAAGTCTCCCAGATTTCAGGCCCGACACTATCCACTGTGCTATCTAGCTGCCTTTAGACACAGACTCCTGGATAAGGGGAGGCAGGACATAGGGCGGCCTAGACAGGCCTTAGAGGGTATTCAGGATTTTGCTAGGTTAGGAAACTATGAGTGGGGTCAACCCCTCAGGGACAGGTCGAGCCTCCATTTTGAATAAAATCTTTAGCTAAAATCTGACAGGACACAGGAATGAACAAGCAATTTGCTTAGACAGAAGATCTGGCTGACAGACTTTCCTCTGTGATCAGAGAGCCCTATGCCTTGGAAAGTATTCAACTTACATGTCATAATAATCACAAAGCCAAAGATGAAGGACTTCGAGAGCAATTTAAAAACAAAAGCACCGAATTTTCAGTGTCTGCCATTGTGAGGAAGATGGCTCTTCTTGAGATCAATAGCAATAAACACTCATTAAGTACCTATTACGTGCCAGTCATCATATCCCAGCCCTCCAGTTTGGGGGATACAAAGAGGCAAATGACAGTACCTGGCCCCAGTGAGCTTACAGTCTAAAGGGAAAGACATATTGACAAATATATACAGGCAAGCTATATACAGGATATAGGAAATAACACAAAGGACATCTCTCTTGATCTGGTTAGTGTGGAACTAAGGACATTCTCACTCACACTTTGGGCCTCGATTCCAGGGACATTAAGGATGCTTTGTTCTTCAGTCCTGTCCAATTCCTCATGATCCCTTTTGGGTTTTGGTTTTTTTTCTGGCAAAGATACTGGAGTGGTTTGCCATTCCTTGAACCCATTTCATGATTCATTCAGAGTGTTCACTGGATGTCATCCATACCTGCAATTCTCTCTCTGTCACTGTCTGTCTGTGTCTGTCTCTGTCTGTCTGTCTGTCTGTCTGTCTCTCTCTCTCGGCTTCCTGTTTCCTGCCCTCCTAGAAGCCTAAGGTCACATTCCACCCTCCACAGAACTTTTCTGATACTTCAGGAGCCGGTGACTAAGATGACCTTCCCTTCGCTCTATAGCTAGCTTTTATGGACCAAACTTGTTTCAGGTTGCCTCTCCTATTACACTGTAAGATCCCTCAGAGTAGGGAGTGGTCTTTGTTGGTTTTTGTATCTCCTGCATTTAACTGAAAGGCTTTCCACGTGCACCACGTAGTTCCATGGTTCCTTTCCAACATTAAGTAAATTTATCAAGGAGTCTCTTCCAGAGAAAAGTTTTGCTTCAATGATTTTACTAATGAGATTTCTCTCCGTCATGAATTCTATAATGTTGAGTAAGTGCTGTGATCCGGTAGAATGCCTTCCCACAATCATTACATTCAAAAGATTTTTCTCGAACATGTGTTCTCTTATGCAATGAAAGGCCTGTATTCCGAGTGAAGGCTTTTCCACATTCATTACATTCATAAAGTTTCTCTCCCGTATGAATACTACCATGACGAGTAAGATCAGACTTTTGAGAGAATGCCTTCCCACATACACTGCATTCGTGAGGTTTTATTCCTGTATGAGTTCTCTGGTGCAGAGAAAGTTTAGAGCTTTGTCGGAATGTCTTCCCACATTCATTGCATTCAAAGGGTTTCTCTCCAGTATGAGTTCTCTGATGTAGAGTTAGGGTTGTGCTCCGAGGAAAGGCTTTCCCACAATCACTGCATTTAAAAGGTTTCTCTCCAGTATGAATCCTACAATGTCTTATAAGATCGATCTTCTGATGGAAGGCCTTTCCACAGTCACTGCATTCAAAAGGTTTCTCTCCACTATGGATCCTATAGTGTAGAGTAAGACTTATCTTCTGCTGGAAGGCCTTTCCACATTCACTGCATTTATAAGATTTCTTTTTACTCTGAATACTAGAGTGTTGTGTAAGATCTGCCTTCTGCCAGGATGTCTTCCCACATTTACTCAATTCATAACACTTTTTTCCTGTATCAGTACTCTGGTATAGACTAAGTTCATTATTTGGGAGGAAAGAATTCCTAGTTTCATGAAATTTCTCTTCAGCATTAATTCCATATTTTTTAATGTGGTCAAAATCATAACTGAAGGCTTTCTGACATTTGTTAACCTCAGAATATTTCTTCTGTGAATACACTTGATTACACTGTCTTTGGTTTGAACAAATGGTGAAACTCCTTCTCTGGTTATCACCTCTGTGGAGATTCATTACTACAGATACTTCCTGTAGCAGAGAAAGGACTGGGCCATATTTACTGTGTTCAGAGCCTCTCACTTCATTGGGAGGTTCTGTTTGGGTTACATTTCCTTGTCTAGAACGTTCCTCCTCATGGCTCTGCTCTTTTTTTAACCTGCTGTAAGACTCCCAGGCTGTCCCCATCTTGGAGATGCGTGGGTCATCCCATGAGGGTGTTTGTTGGGATAAGTCTTCCACAGAAATACCCATCTCTGGAGATGACTCCTTGGTGTGAGGCCTGGTATCCCAAGCTGAAAGAAAGAAAAAGTGGAAATACCTCTTTTCCTTGGATGAACAAACTTTTGTCTGTATATCATTTCCCCAACATTCTGGCTGTTACAAACCATTTACATATGGTTCTCACTTGAATTGAAGTCAATTTTTATGGCTTCTCAAATTTCCTGCATTTACCATGATTATCCTTTCATATATATATATTAGATTAATATGCCAAAACCCACACAGAGAACACACAATCGATGGAAATATGGACGACTGCTGGCCCCACTACACCAATAGGAACATTGCAGCTTGAGGGATTTGTTTTTGTTTTTGTTTTCTTTCCAGAAAAAAAATTTTCATTTAAATGTCACACTCAGAAGAGTCATGGGAGCGTGACCACAGGGTCTAAGAAGAGAAAGTAATATATATATACACACATATACATATATATTTATATATATATATACACACATATACATATATATTTATATATATATATACACATATACATATATATTTATATATATATATATATACACACACACAGCTCCTAGACTAAAGAGTTCCACTTTAATTTCCAAAAAATATTAAAACAATTCAAATTTCCACCCTCTGTGGAATAACACAGCTGCATTCTGGGAAAATAAAAAAAACCAGAATCTGACCATTTCTATTTATCCACATTAACTGACTTTGGTATGAAAGGTGACATCCTCCAAACAAACTGGAAGAGTAGGGAGAAATTATCTCTCAGATCTATGGTGGGGAGAAGAGCTCATGACTAAATAAGTCATCCAGAGAATCACAAATGCGCTTATTTTTAGAGGGTTCACAGATGAATCACCAGTTTAATGGCAGTGTCATATACTCAACTAGCTGGCACTCACTCACTCACCTGGCCAGCAGGTTCTTAGGACATTGCCCACTGGAATCCAATGCGCTTCCCCTGACTACAGCTGAGAGATCACATCCAGGTTGGCATCTGCAAGGCCTAGTTGTGGGAAATGGCAAAGGGATGCAGAAAGAGGGTCACTTGAGGAGCCAAGCCTCCCAGCCCCCTAGGAGCAAGTTAGGAAGGTCCAGGGAGTCTGGGGGCCATGGAGGAGCATAGAGAAAACATCTGAAGGATGATCTGGTTTGTTTTCCTGGGAAGATACAGGAACGAGACAAAGAATGGAATTGGGTTCAGAGAGACAATGAGTTCACTTGGTTCATTCAATATTGAGGTATCTGGGAGCTTTCTTAGACTTTAAGTATTTTCCTGGGGAATTTAGAAAGCCTCACTGGCCTGAAGGAACACAGAGCCAGAGTGGGATCACACAATATAAAAACAAGAGCCCTTCAGCCAAGCACAAGAACCCTGTCTCTTGGCCTCATTGTAAGTAACAAATGCTTGGTTTTCTTACAGGCCGACGCATCAGTGCTGAACACTAGGCCCAGCCCCAGCAGAAGGAAGCAAACGACCTTTCAGGGGCAGATCCCAAGTCCCCAGAGGAGCCTCCTTACCCAGGCTGACCAGGTTCCTGTAGTTCTCCAGCATCACCTCCCAGTAAAGCTCCTTCTGGGAGGTGTCCAGGTAGCCCCACTCCTCCCAGGTGAAGTCCACGGCCACATCCTTGAATGTCACTGATTCCTGAAACAACAAATAACTTTGTGCTTAGCCAGGGACCATACCCCAGATGGATGTGAGAAGGGAAGTCAAGTGGTCAGGAATTAGGACTAATTCTTACTATATTCAGTTTTCAGACTGTTCAAAGTCAAATCTTTAGGAGTATTTACTGCAAGCCTCAGGCTGTACCAGATTCTGAATCAAGTAACAAAAAATAGTCATTGTCAAGTCAACAAACATTTACAGAGGGTCTACCCTGTGTCAGGCTAAGCCCTGGAGACACAAAGAAGGGCAAAAACAGTCCCTGCCCTCAACTAATTAAGTCTAATTGGGGGACAACATGTGCCTATTGACAAACAAGGTCTAGACCAGAGGTTCTTAAACTGTTGGTCAAGACCCCATAGGGTCAAGATCCACAATTTAAGAAGTGCTAAAAGGGTCACGAGTGGAAAAAGTTTAAGAGCCCTGGTCCAGACAACACTTTTCTCACGATCAACTCGGGAAGGTAAGTATTCCTTATCCCTACTTCACAGATAAGCAAAATGAGGCAAAAAAAAAAAAAAGAAGAAGAAGAAGAGGCTAAGTAAGGCTTCATGGATTGCTTTACACTCACAGACAGGCTCAAAGCTATGGCTCCCATCCCTGTCTCCAGACCCCATCTAACGCTCTGTCCACCAGACCAGCTCAGATTCCCCCTCGGAAGTCTCCCAAAATGGACTTGTTCTTCAATTAGATTTCAGTGCCTGAGATACAACTTTTGATGACAGAAGGTAAGCAAAAGTACATGGCTTGAAATTTAATGTGAATTTTAAATGGAAAAATTGGAAAACATAATAGAAAATGTACTTAAGATTCCCAGAGGAGAACTCAGAAAAATCCAATCCAGAGAGCAAGAAAACACTAGTGTGCTTAAATGAGGTAGTTTGAATTTAAAAGAGAATGAGAATGACTTTGGCAGCTCAATGGAGGAGAAACTGGAGTAGGGAGAGACCAAATAGCACAGTGTGTGAGGTAGCCTGGGCCTGCACTAGGGGGAGGGCTGGGGCACTGGACAGAGGGGACATCTGCAGGCAAGAGATCATGTAGAAAGAAATTACTCAAGTTGGCAGCTGACCTCATATGTGGTCTGAGAGAGAGAGGGAACAATGATGCTGCCCGCCTGGGTGACCTGGAGGACAGTGGTATCCTCCAAGGGAATAGCCAGGTTCAGAAACAGCGAGGGTTTTGGGGGGAGATACTGTTATCCTGGAAGATGGTGAGTGGGAGATGCCTATGGGACATCCTGCTTAAAAAGTCCTATTTATTTGTTGTAGATTCAGGAGTAGAATCCATGGCACAGATGAGACCCCCCAAGTGAGAAAGCTTAGAGAGAGAGGGAGGGCCAGGTCAGAGCTTGGACAAGCCCCCCAGACAGAGGGCATAACATGGATGCTGACCCAGCAAAGGAGGCAGAGAAGGGAGGAGTGGTCAGACAGGAAGGAGGAGGGGACCCAGAGGGAGCAGGGCCATGAAAGTGTCAGGGAAGAGAGGCTGAGGCCTGAGAAGAGGCCACTGGATTGGGACATTTGGGGAGGGAGTAACCACTGAGAGGATCAGGGAAAGTCTCCCAGGAGATCCACCTTTCAGGGTCCCCCCAGATGTTGAGTCAAGTCAGACGAGCCAGCCTTTATTAAGTGCCTACTGGATGCCAGGCACTGTTTTTTGGTGACTGAATGGCTGATCAGCCCCAGGTGCTCTGATGACAGAGAGCATTGGAGAAAAGACCCGTCTACACTGTGCCCTGAGACACCTGGCAGAGAGGGCAACGCTGCTTACCTGGGGGGGCCTGCTGGGGAGGAACTCGGGGCCCATGCTGCGCGCCTTCCTGCTCCGCGCTCTGGCTCGCACCCAGGCCCCTGCTGGAAAGGAAAAGGCAGCCATGGGGGGGGGGGGGGCCCTCCCCCCTCCCCCCCAGACCTGCCTCTGCCTGGGAAATGCCCACAGTGACACCGGGGGCAGCCCGTCTGTGTCCAGGACTCAACTCAACGTGCATCAATGAGGCGCCCACTGTATGCCTCACTGCATTCTGGGTGCTGGAGATGCCAAGGAGAGGGAAAAGCCCAGACTGTGCCCCTCCCCCCAGAAAGGCCAGGTCACGTGATGAGGGAGGGGGCGGTGACATCTGGGAGTAGGGGGGCCCTGGGGCTAGAGGCGCCTTTCCCAGGGGATCTGAACCCTAGAAATGCAGGGGGGTGGGGGAGGCCAAAGACATTCATGTCAGAGTGGGGGTTCTGGGGGGCAGGAGAGGGAAGGGGAGCCCGGCATGGGGGGTAGAAAGGGAGAGAAGGGGGGAGAGGGGGAAATAAAGGAGGGGAAGGAAGCGAGGGGGGAGAAGGGAAAGACAGAAGAACGGGGAGGGGGCGGGGCGGTCCCACCTCACTGACCCCCCCCCAGGATCCAGGGGCCTTCACCCCATTTCAGGGACGAGCCAACTGAGGCAAGGAGTCGGGAGGGGCGGGGCCCCTGGCCTCCCATCCGGTCCCCGCCCCTCACCTCGCCCCGGACCCAGGCACGACCTCAGCCTCGCCTGGCTTCCACACGCAAGTGGACAGGCAACTTCCGCGCCTGCGCAGTCTCTCCTTCGGCGAGGACGGCGCCGATTGGCCCCCGCCAGGGGGGCGTGGCCTTCTCATTTCCGAGGCCACGCCCCCTCCCCCCAGTTTCAATGGAGCTGGAGATGGCTCCTCCCTCCTGGCGTAGCCTAGAACTTTAAGCCAATCAGAGGCGCCGCCGCTACGTCAGATTTCACTCTCTCCCACCCCCCCCACCCCCCTCCCCCCGCCCTGCGCTGTCTTGAGCCGGGTGCTCCCTGTTACGTTGGGCAGCCCCAGGGCGCTGCGGGAGGCCCGGCAGCCTCATTCTCTGGCTCCAGGAAATGGGCCCAGGGCTGCCCCAGGTCAGCCCCAGCCCCCGCGCGGCCCCTCGGGCCGGGGTCTCTCCGAGATCGCCCGGGGTCCTGGATCTGATTCCCCGCCGCGCCTTTGGCTTTGCGGTGCTTCCTCCAGGAGCACCCCCTTCCCCCCAGCTCTGCCTGCCGAGGAGAGGCCCCTGCGTTCCCCAAGGGGCGGGGGGAGACAGCAGAGGAAGGGATGACCCCTGTCCTCCCCAGACCTGCCCCTCCCCCCCCCATCGATGGTCCCTCCTTCCCAGAAGAGTCGCTGGTCATTGGCATTGGTTTGCCAAGCTCTGTACACGCCCTGTGTCCTTGGACCTTCACCACAGCCATTGCACAGAGGGGAAACTGAGGCACACTTGTTGCAGTGTCTGGGGCTAGACCTGAATCCAGGTCCCACACTCCCTCCTGCTGCCACCTATGCCCATCCTCAGCCTCCTGACCTTGATGCCATACTAAGGGTGCCCCCCTCCCCCCTGCCCCTCTCTTCTGCCCCAACACTCGCAGCCTGATCACAACAATCAGGGCTTCTGCCTGCTCAAGTCAGACTTGGTGCTGGGCAGGTTGCAGGGGCAATCATATGTTCCCATGGCCAGTCTTGGGGTCCTTTTTTCAGCTTTCCAGTATTTAAAGCACTTGTCTCTCTACATCCTGCAAATAAAACGAACCCTAGGACGTCCATGTACCCAGCCTGGGGTACGTGGAGGGAAAGGGGCTTTCCTTGGTTTCTGTCCCCATAAGTGTCCCCAGGCAGGACTGCAGAGGGGGCTTAAAGGTTTTGATAAATGGCTGAGATGTTCCCAGCTGAGAACACTGGACTCTGCATCATAGAAATGATTGGGTAGTCATCCTGTTGGTGTGTTCAGAGATCAGCTTCCCAAAATGGGAACACTAATGCATTGTTGGCAGAGTTGTGAACTGATCCAACCATTCTGGAGAGCAATTTGGAACTATAAACTGTAAATACCCTTTGACCCAGCAATAGCACTTCTAGGGCTGTATCCCAGAGAGATCATACAAATAGGAAAAGGACGCACATGTACAAAAATGTTTATAGCAGCTCTTTTTGTGGTAGCAAAGAATTGGAAATTGAGGGAATGCCCATCAATAGGGGAATGGCTGAACAAGCTGTGGTATATGAATGTAATGGAATACTCTTGTTCCATAAGAAATGATGAGCAGGCTGGCTTCAGAAAAACCTGGAAAGACTTGTATGGTCTGATGCTGAGTGAAGTGAGCAGAACCAGAAGAACATTGTACACAGTAATGGCTGTGTTGTGTGATGACCAACTTTGATAGACTTAGCTCTTCTCAGCAGTACAAGGATCTAAGACCTCTCCAAAGGCCTCATGATGGAAAATGCTGTCCACATCCCAAGAAAGAACTATGGAGTCTGAATGCAGATCAAGGCATACTACTTTCTTTTTTGTTTTTGTTTTTTCTTTCTAGTGTTTTTTCCTTTTTGTTCTGATTCTTTTCTCAACATGAACCAGCAAGGAGAGCTAATCCCCAAACCTGCTAGGGTAAGGTCAGGTAGCCCTGTGATCTAGTCACTTGTCAAGACTGATAGCTGGGAGCTGGTGTTTTAGGGTCTGTGAGAACCGTGAGACCTGTGTGGGTAGCAGAAGGGAGGAAGATGCTTCCCCCCCAGCCCCACCCCGCTGATCTGTTCTCTGATAATTGAGAATCAACTACATGCTTGTAGTGATTCCTTCTAGGAGGGTGTATTAGGGAACAACTTTCCATTACTGTTGGATTTGGCAACTGAGCTAAGGAATTTCACCTAAGTTCCCAAATCTTGGGATGTTCTTGTTTGCCAGGGAGTAGTGAAGCTTTCTGTTTGCTTAAGTGGTGTGAAGCAAGTGAGATGTAGCAAGAATCGGAAAACTGACTCCTCCTGAGGTCTCAGCTTCTACTATCTCAAGGAGTCAAACTGAGACCCGTTAAAGACAATTAGCTTAAAAAAGCCAACGTCTCCCATTGCGTCCAAGGCCATCTCCAGTTGTCCTGCTTTATTTCTTGCCACTGGACCCAGATGGCTCTGGAGGAGACAGTGAGGCTGCTGACTTTGCACAGCCCTTCCTCATTTAAATCAATTCACTTGTATGTCACGGTATCATGCCCCTGATGTCATGGTCCTCTTCAAGAATGAGGAACAAAGGAAATATGTTTAACATTATTGTACATGTATAACATATATCAGATTGCTTGCCATCTTGGGGAGGGGAGAGGAGAGGGAGGGAGAAAAAGAACTTGGAACCCAAAATCTTATAAAAGTGAATATTAAAAACTATCTTCATATGTAGTTGGAAAAAAATAAAATATTATTAAGTGGGGAAAAAAAAATCACCTTCTGGTTAATCTTGGCAGAGGCCTGGCCAGCTGGGAGCTTGTCTGAAAACTCCTGTCTTTTGACTGGAGCAGCAGTAGAAAGTAAGAATGGGATTGTGGCCCCAAGAGTTCGGATCTTTGGCTGCAGTAAGAGTGGTTGGTGGTCCTCACCTCCTGAAAGAGATCCCCAAAATGCAACCTCACAAGAATATTATAGTGAAATTCCAGAGCTCCCAGATCAGTGAGAAAATACTGCAAGCAACCAGAAAGAAACAATTCAGATAGTGTGGAGCCACAGTCTGGATCACAGAACATTTAGCAGCTTCTTCATAAGAAGATCAGAACGTGATATTCTAGATCGCAAAGGAGAAAGGATTACAACCAAGCATCCCCTACCTAGAAAAACTGAGTATAATCCTTCAGGGAGAAAACAAATGAATACTTAATTAAATAGAGGACTTTCAAGCAGTGGGATAGAAAATCTGACTGTCAAATACAAGTCTCAAGAGAAGCATAAAAAAGTAAAGAAAAAAGAGAAATCATAAGGGTTTCAATAAGGTTAAACTGTTTGCATTCCTATATGGAAAGATGATACTTGTAACTTCTAAGAATTTCATGATTATTAGGGCAGTTAGAAGGAATCTACATAGACTGAGAACAGGGAAGTGAATTGAGTACTTGATGGGATGATTTTTAAAAATACAATGAACAGGGTGAGAAAAAGGAAGGGAGACATAGAATGGGTAGATTATCTTACATAAAAGAGGCAGGAAAGGAAGAACTTTTAAAATGAGGGGAAAGGTGGTGGGGGTGGGGTAGGAATGTTAGGGTCAATGCCTTCACTGTCGTTGGAACTAGCTCAAAAAGGGAGTAACATACACATTCCTTTGGGTATAGAAATCTATCTTGTCCTCCAGGGAAGTAGGAAGGAAATAGGATAAGAGAAGGAGGAGAGGCTCATAGAAGGGAGGACAAATCGGGGGAGGTGATGATCTGAAACAAAACAGACTTTTGAGGAGGGACGGGGTGAAAGAAGAGAGAAAGAAGGATAAACAAAGCAGGGGAGATATAGGATGGAAGGGAAAACATAATAATCATAACTGTGAATGTGAATGGGATGAACTCACTCATAAAACAGAAGAAGGTAGCAGAGTAGATTAAAAACCAGAATCTGAAAATACGTTGTTTACAAGAAACATACTTGAAGCAAAGAGACACACACAGAATAAAGGTAAAAGGCTGGAACAGAATCTATTATGCTTCAGCTAAGGGGGAAAAAAGCAAGGCTAGCAATCATGGCCTCAGACAAAGTAAAAGCAAAATAGATCTAATTAAAAGGGATAAGCAGGGAAACTACATTTTGCTAAAAGGTATCAGACAATGAAGTAATAGCAATACTAAACATATATGCACCAAATGGTATAGCATCCCAATTCTTAAAAGAAAAGTTAAATGAGTTACAGGAGGAAATAGCAAAACTATCCTAGTGAGGGTCCTCAACCTCCCCTTCTCAGAACTAGACAAATGTAACCATAAAATAAACAAGAAGTTAAGGAGACAGAGAATTTTAGAAAACTTAAAATGATAGATATTAGATAGATAGATAAAAATTTAATATGATAACAATATGAGAGACCTGTGGAGAAAATTGAACAAAAACAGAAAGGTATATACCTTTTTCTTAGCAGTAAATTGATTGTGTATTAGGAAATAAAAACCTCCCAATCAAATGCAGAAAAGTAAAAGTATTAAGTGCATCCTTTTTAGATCATAACACAATAAAAATTATATTCAATAAAGGGCTGTGAATATATAGAATAAAATTAGTTGGAAACTAAATAATCGAATCCTAAAGAATGAATGGGTCAAAGAACAAATCATAGAAAAAATCAACAATTTCATTAAAGAGAATGACAACAACGAGACAACATGTCAAAATTTATCATCTAAAATATTATCATCTAAGGAGAAAATTGAAATCTCTAAATGCTTACATCAATAAAATAGAGAAAGCGATCAATGAATTGGGCATGCAACTAAAATAAAACTGGAAAATTTTAACACCAAATTAGAAATCCTGAAAATCAAAAAAGAGATTAATAAAATTGAAAGGAGAAAAAAAGACATTGAACTAGTAAATAAAACTAGGAGCTTATTTTATGAAAAAAAAATAGAAAAAACATTGGTTAATTGGATTTTGAAAAAGAAAGAAGAAAGGCAAATTTTTCTTCTTGTTCAGTCATTTTCAGTCATATTCAATTCTTCATGATCCTTTTTGGGGTTTTCTTGGCAAGGATACTGGAGTGG